ACAATAACACTTCCCAAAGATCTAACTGGCTTTACATTTACTTAATCAAAACTTGGTAAACGATCTACAACAGCAACATCTGGTATCCCTCAATATCACAACCATTGATAATACTCTGTTCAGATGTTATAACGGGGGCAGATATTTTTGAACCATAACAACCCTTTCAGTTATGCATGACAATAAAACCTCATTGGTGAAGGGGTTTATTGCCTGAGGTAGGAAAGAATTCCCTCGCTTTCCTGAACCACAATAATCAGGTGCAGTATTTGCAAGAGAAGATTTGTCCTTTTCCTCAGAAGCATGAGACAAAGAGTTATTGCTAAAGGCAGGATTCCTGAGCTGGGGGAACAATGGTTTGATGCAGCAGAGCAAATCCTGTGTTTAAATTGGGCATCTTCCAAATTCTTTCTCTGTCTGCCTAATATCATTGCATGCTCTCCAGTGACGGAAAACATACTGCAATTCTGCCTGCCTGGATGAGGGAAATCGGGTCCATTGCCAAAAAACTGGAATTGCTAAGGTAGAAAGTCACTGTTCTGATGCTGGAGTCTTGGAGGAGGGTACTAAAAGCTACATGAACATTGTTTTGTAGCTGTACTCTTGGGGTGCTATAGGAAGAACAATGTGGAAATCGAACAGCTGCCTGGAGTGGTTTTTCCAGTTGACAATAGATTTATTCAAGGGAGGGAAAAGGAAACAAAAGAAAATCTGTATCTGATGATGAGGGAAAGTATTTTGATGTCTAATCTTTAAAGAAATTGCATCCAAACAATTCATCTCTCTGTTACAGTCTGTCTGTACTGCTGCCAAGGTCATTAAATGCATAAATCCAAAGAGCACAGCGCCCTTGAAAAAAATGGTACCCCTTTTGCTCAGCACTGCATTCTCAGAGCTCAAATGGTCAGAAGCATTTCTTTCTCTGTCTGACTGGAAGACAGCATTTGAAAATAAAGGTTTTAATTACAGCTGGCACATACAGGTTTCCCTCAGAGCATATAAAACCCACGACCTGTGCAGTGCAGTAGAGTGAGATCAGTTTTGTCCTTGTTCCCCATCTCAAAGTGCCAGGGCTTCTTGCTTCAGAGACACCCCCCCCCCCCCC